GGTTAGTTTAGTTTCTTACTCAAGGGTAAAAACACTTGAATGAGACACTAAACTAACTCCCCTTCGGGACTAACCAAGGTTGGTTGCGTTTTACAAACTTGACCAACCCCCCCTAGGAGCTCCGAAAGGAGCGCCCCGCTCTAGTTAGAAAATAATAGCTGACTTGTCTCGATAGATGTTTCGGAGTGCCCGAAGGAAAAGAGGAGAAGCTGACATGGCAGACCGACAGCAATTTCCCCATCTGGTATCTGTGACTCGAATTGTGAAGTTACCGATAGTTGAGACCAGCTGGCACCTGGCTACTGACGTCTATGCCAGGATCAAGGCAAGGCATCTTGTGTAAAATTTACTTCTAATAATCATGCACGTGGAATTAAGATTCTTGTTAACTCTGTAAATAATGAGATTTCAGGTTCTCGCAGCAGTAAGTCTGTATTCTCATAGAAAGTGACCAGCATTTCTGCCTCCTGAATATCGAGGCAGTAAGCACTTGAATAATATCGATAATTTTCAGTGAGACTATGTGATGCAACATTCTGGAACACAGTCATTTTCAGCGAAGAACCTTAGAATTTATGCTCCTTGAAATTATATAAGTTCAAATCAAAAATTTACAAGTTCTGGGAGTAACTCATAATTCTTCCTTTCCTTCCCATGTACAGTCAGGATAGCGTAAATTATAAAGATTCTGCCTTCTAGGATGTTGCATCATTCCGTTCTTTTAGATACTCATATCTTGATATGGGAGTTTGTTTAAATTGATTTTTTGTATTTAGCTTTGTTTTGTTTAATATATGTGTCAGGTATTTGTCTGTCATAGGCCCTATGCTTTTGGCAAATATTATAATAAAGGAAATCAATTAAATTGAATTATCATCAGTTTTTCTATAACTGAAAGCATTTGAAGTAGGAAAGAAATATTTCTAAGTTCTGGGTTTATTTATTTTATATAAAGATAGTCCATTATACCAAGTTCACTATTGAACTTTGCCACTTGTGTGTCAACCAAAGATGAGAGTTCACCCAATTCCTGAAAGATCGTGGGTATCAGATATACTTAAGCCAATGCTTAGGGCAATGTAAACTAGTGGCATGATCATATTTTAAATTTTTTTTATAAATCCTGTCATATTAATTATATAGTTTCTCCTTTAACAAATTAATAAAATTAGTCATTTAGTTCCTAATGGTATGGCCAACATATTTATTTACACAACAAGCCGGAATTCATTGCTTTCATTTAAAAACTATGGTTATGTAGCAAACAGCAGCTGAAATACACTGACATTAATTTTACATGAGAAAGATCGCACTTAGTAATGGTCATAATAGCGGTAGTCTATAATGAAACAACCATTGACACAAACATTCAGAGAAGCGGTGCAGTCTTAATTATGCTACCTTAATCAGTCACTTGTCATCTGAAACGTGTGTCCGATGATATGCAGAAGTCCAACTCGCTGGTGAGCTGGGGCCTCAATACGGCCGAGTCCTCTGTGCAGGTGGCTCTTGAAACCACCCTACCCGCAATGATTGTGCTGGAGCGGCCTTTCGCGCTTATCGACTCTCTGCTCTGCAAGAGTCTCGATATAGTTGAAGAACGTGTGCCATTGGTCACTCTGCCACCTATTCAGGTTTGTGTCAATTCAGAATTGGCCTGTGTGTCAGTTACACATTTTAAACTGCATCCTTCTGTATTTCCTCAAGTAATAAATCAGACTTTTTCTTAGCTGCAAATTGAAATCCTTGACTTTCTTTTAGAAATCCAAAATTGTACCTTTTATTTGACCACATTTCAAAACTTCCATTGTACATTTTTCCGCAGATTCAGAAATTAATATTTTCTTCCTTACAAGTCCAAATCTCTGGCAGTCTCTTAGTCACAAATTAAAGAATTTGTCTTGGTCACAGAAGAAAATATCTATGTTTTAGTAACAAATCCAAACTTTTATCTGTATCTTCATCACAATTTGAAATCTCAGCCTTTCTCTTAGTCAGAATTTAAAATGGCCATATTTACCTTATCTATAATTTTGATTCTTCATTTTTATTTTAATCAAAGATACAAATCCCCACTTTTCTTTTAGCAACAAACCCAAATCACTGTCTTTATAATAATCTCATGTCCAAACCTCCATCTTTATGTTAGACACAAATCCAAATCTTTCTCACTCATATAGTCACAAATTCAAACATACAGTGAACTTGATCTTGATCCTTGCAGATCTATGAAACCACGAAGAGATATGTGAGCAAAGCTGTTGTGCTCCCTGTCCTGCACAGGGCAGACTCGGTGAAGCAGTTTGGGCTGAGCCAGGCTAACTCAGCTGTGCTCAGGCTTGATGGTGTTATCAACGTGGCCGACAAGTACGTGGACGAGTATCTTCCAGGCGCAACATCTGAAGAAAACCATGGTGAGGCACTACTTAACATTGTGTCCTGTTGGAAGTAGTAGCATCAGTATAATGTAAAGCTGAAATTATGCTGTGATTTAGTTTTAGTTTAAAACTTCATTAAACTTTATCATTTTTTAGAAAATGTTTTGGTATGTCTCGAGATTAGAAGTAAAGCATTAAAGCACTTTCCCTTATCATTGCAGAGGCAAACAACTTTGTTAGCTCCAGCAGAAATAACAAGGCTCTGCAGACGTTTCATCGGGTGGATCGCCTTTCACGAAAGCTGCAACGTCGTCTCACCCAGCGCACAGTGGCCGAGGTCAAGGCTTTCAGACAATACAGTGAGGATGCTCTGCGCTTTTTACTCTTCACTGCAGAACTGGTAAGTAGCACCTCAAAGTACAGGTGAGAATTTGTGATGGGGATGGACACCGTGTCATTTCAATATATTTTCGAGACAGTGCCAGATATCACGCAGTCATGTCATTGTATTTACAATGCAACATAAAAATGGTTTCCAAGATATATATTTGCACAAATATAGGCTCCAGTTATTCCAGAAGCTCGTACCATACCATAATTCATCTGGTATGGTTATTCACCATTTATCATAGTCAACAAGTAGAAAGTTTTGTGTGTTGTTGCTGTGAAGTTACATTTATTTTTAGACAGAACTAACTTTATTCAATCAGTGTAAGATTTGAGATTTTCACAGCAGTGAGTATGAAGATTTCTGTCTTCTGGGGTGTTGCGCTGTGTAGTCTGGTCGATGTTTACCAACGTTTCAGCGGTCATACTGCCTCCGTCATCAGGGCGATTCTTTCTAAGTTATCTACGCTATGAAGATTTCTGTCTTCTGGGGTGTTGCGCTGTGTAGTCTGGTCGATGTTTACCAACGTTTCAGCGGTCATACTGCCTCCGTCATCAGGGCGATTCTTTCTAAGTTATCTACGCTATGAAGATTTCTGTCTTCTGGGGTGTTGCGCTGTGTAGTCTGGTCGATGTTTACCAACGTTTCAGCGGTCATACTGCCTCCGTCATCAGGGCGATTCTTTCTAAGTTATCTACGCTATGAAGATTTCTGTCTTCTGGGGTGTTGCGCTGTGTAGTCTGGTCGATGTTTACCAACGTTTCAGCGGTCATACTGCCTCCGTCATCAGGGCGATTCTTTCTAAGTTATCTACGCTATGAAGATTTCTGTCTTCTGGGGTGTTGCGCTGTGTAGTCTGGTCGATGTTTACCAACGTTTCAGCGGTCATACTGCCTCCGTCATCAGGGCGATTCTTTCTAAGTTATCTACGCTATGAAGATTTCTGTCTTCTGGGGTGTTGCGCTGTGTAGTCTGGTCGATGTTTACCAACGTTTCAGCGGTCATACTGCCTCCGTCATCAGGGCGATTCTTTCTAAGTTATCTACGCTATGAAGATTTCTGTCTTCTGGGGTGTTGCGCTGTGTAGTCTGGTCGATGTTTACCAACGTTTCAGAGGTCATACTGCCTCCTTCATCAGGGCAATGAATTTCTTTGATATCTGCATCAAATTCCTTTAATGATTCTGTCACCTCAGTATGAAACAGCTCAGAGGAGAGTATTAAATCCTTTGTGCCAATCCACATTTAAAATTCGTGTCCTTTTCGGATATGAAGTAAAGTTTTAACTTATACTTTGAGCAAAATCATCTTGATATATTTTATCCATGTCTGATTGTCCCTTAATGCAGCTGGTCAAGGACCCCAAAGCACTGAAGGAGAAGGTGGTAGCCCTCTGGGCAGAGCTGAGCAAGGATGAGCCGGAGAACCAGCAGCGGCCAGCAAACCTGGAGCAGCTGACAGTGATGGTGACACGGGAATTAGCCAGACGCGTCGTGCACCTCATTAACTACTCGCAGGAAGGCATTTCCACATTACCGCAGACCATCTCACAGTCACTGCACATCGCTGCTGACTACTGCACCCAGCTCACTGATATTGTTGTCAAGGTAACAACACAGTTTATACCATGCTAAATTCAGTGGCCATTTCTCACCCAAGTCTCTCCTGATTCACTACTAGATGGCTCTGGCAGTCAAATCAGGATTGAGTAGAAATTGTGCAGAGTCTGGGCTGGTCACTCACTACTCACAGATGCACACTTCAAAGACTAAGAAACCTCCGAAAGGAGGCGGCAAAAACCCTCATTGGATTGTAGAGCCAAGGAACAATAACAACAACTTGGCTCTCCTGAGGTTTTTTTATGGATTTTCTCAGTCGTTCCAGGAAATTTTTTATAACTTTGAAATAAGCAAACGGATGACCATTTCTGTTCCTGCTTGCAGGTTGCCCATCTTGGTGAAATGAAAGAGGTTGCTTTTGCGAGAGCCAGAATCCAGATTAACAAGATCCAGGCTCTCCTGAAGGAGATCAATGAATATGCGTCACAGCTGCTGGTAAGCGCATCTCTGCTTCTTTCTGATCTCAGGAGCAGTCAGTGATTCTGGCGTAGGATGTTCTCATTCGGTCTCACATGTGGGCGTAATGTGCACGCTAAAAATCGAGAATGAGAAGGCAAATTATTCTGTAGCGCAGATATGTTCCAAATGCATTTATTGTTTTGCATAGCTCATTAGGTTTTATATTGATTCGTTACAGATGTAAAATTAGTCACACAACAGTTATCAAACTTTATAAAATTTATTTTTCCTTATAATTAACAAATTATAAATAGCAGAGTCCTTTGTTCTTTGGAAGCTGACAGTTGCTCAGATAATGAGAAGGCTCCCATGGTTGTATCGAACCCAAAGGTTCATTACTATGTTTACATCAACTTATCTGATGGCCTGTATGCTGAGCCAGTTGAGTCCAGTCCATATCCCCACATTCTCTTTCCATAAGATTCATTTTAACACAATCCTTTCTCCTAAATAAGGTACGCGAACTGACAGGCAGACATACCTCTGCATTATGCATTCATTTTATGCACCTTGTCTGAATAACGCATATACTCTTTAATTTTTCTCGCTTATGAATTTCAGAAGTGGATTTCTTTAACATCGTCTTAATAACTGCATGAAAAAACTCGGAGATAAATTCTCTAGAAACGAAGGATTAAATTTTTGCTGTCTAAAAGTGAATGAATCAATTTTATAGGGAGAATAAGTCAGAAAATATATTTGTTTATAGTAATTGAAAGAATGTTTTTATTTCAAAAAGATAAGTTTTCCGGGAAATATGAAATCACACTAAATGCAGTGCGTATTGTACATTGAGCATATGTCGATTTACACCGCTTCGGTCTGCGTGTTTCGCATATACGCTGTTTTCGTTCTTAGGAGCATCCCTTATTTACACGCCACGTCCAGCGCCTCCCTCTGACTCATTTCAGAAAGAGAGACGAGATGCTGCTAAATTTCAAGAAGACAGTTCAACTCCTACAACCTCAGATATTTCAGTTGTTGACCAAGAATCAGAGGAAGGCTCTGTCGATGATCCAACTCCCTCCACATCCTCCAATTAACTTCCGGAAATCTTCAGTCTACTTAATTTAAGTCCATTAAGAGATCTTCAGAGGCATTTTTGGTGAGTTTCAATTATGTAGTGAATAAATATATTAATGCAACTGATTGTTTAACTACATTTTTGAATATTTGTATTTTTCTTTACTACCCTATTACAGTGTTATTTTGATGTAAATAACCAGAGGATGAAGATACAAATCCTCGGTCTAAACTGAACATTTTTCACTCAGGAATGTATCGCTCAATTTTAACATTGAATTTATTAAAAATTTGAGTTCTGCATCCTCCCATTTTCCTGGAATGCTGCTGCTGTCTAAAACTGGACTTACCTGTGCTTGTGTAGTAGAAAATATTACCTGAAAGAACACACGTTTTTTCATAAAATTTTTTAGCATCATCATTAAATTACTGACTTTAAAACATCCACTAATTTAGACAACGAGAGTATAAATTTCTGAACCAATTTTTCATTACGGTCACCAGTAATCATAATTTTTTGCAGGGGGGGGGGGTAAAACCAAAACAGCTGTTCTTGTTGGCGTACGAAAGTAATCAAAATACGATATATGACCGAATAACCCATTATTATTAACTCTTTTATAATATATTTTTTTATTGCAGGAGAGTGTTGCACACCAAATTGCAGGCAAGTGCAGTATGCCGAAACCAGTTTCGTCAGACACCCACAACAACGGCCATCCATCCGGACCAAACAATCTAAATGCTGTCGATTAGATATATCTGTCACAACTTTCATTTTAAATGTAAATTAAACAATCTATATCAGTGGTCCCTACCCATTGAGCTATTTTCCAAATAATATTCATCTAGTCACGATGTCGTAGCGTGTCACCTATCAAAATTGCCGGTTTCTTGAAGTTGAATTGTGATGGATAAATGGTAATGAATATGGTGCGTTTATCATATTTTGTGAATGTGGTTATTTTGAGAAGGGAGTCACATAGCAAAGCCATTGTTAATGTCGCCATCGCCACCAAAATTACAATTATTGCAATTACCACCAAATGTTGCGACTCCATGCAGGGCTGGATTAAGGTCTTGCAGGCGGATCGGCAATCAAAATTGTCTTGGATATACATATATCTTTTCGTATATCAAATTATATATTTGTTCAAGAAAAGAAATTTGTTGCAAGTTTTATCATAAAAAATGGTAATAAAATTTTTTATAGGCACTTTAATTTTCGTAGGCCCTAGGCTATTGGATAATATGGTCCTGACTCCGTGTAGTATGTAGTGGTTAGCAAGTTTTGCAGTAATATGGTGTCACCATATTTTTCCCTGAGATTGCTGCGCGGAAGGTAAAGCTTGGATGATACGTCTTTTATCGCGAAGTTTTGAATTTTTGTCCGAAACTCCGGTAACCACTTACATGAGTAAAATGGCGTAACCCAGCAAGTCACAATTTAAATGTTCATGTTATATAACCTAAAATTAGATTATCATAAGCGACATACCGACGAACTGCGAGTGGGGATTATTGCTATATTTTGTTTAATAATTAATTACAAATACAAATATATATACTTCGGCTTCTGTATGTAGCTGGGGAACATGTGTTCAGCCCTGGATTCTAATTTAATTACAAATTACATTTTATATAGAACATGCACTATATATATATATATATATATACATATGATTTATTATTCGTGGGTTTGTTTCTGATGCCTGTTGACTTATCAGTAAAGTTCTATAGGCATTTTATTCAGAACATTTTAATAGTTAAGTAAATTTATTCTAAATTTTTCAGAATAAATTGTATCGAACACGATGCATTTTATTTCGGTGGGATAATGTTCTACATATTCTGTTTTTGATATAATAGCTTGTTTCAGTTTATCATTATTTATAACTGGAGTAAATTTTTCAGATAAAAACGATATGCATATTTTTCTATTAACTTACATTTAACAGTTGTACCACGTTAATAAAATTACGTACAATTTACATCGAGAAACAAAAAATATAATGGACACAGTCAACATAAAATATCATATTTAATTGTGAAATGTAATTAGCATTTCGACTTTAACGTTAAATATCTGTGGGTCCTGGTTTTTTTAATTTTTTGTGGTCGCTATGTTTAATGTCCATCTTAAAGTTCAGCAAAAAGTAAATTTTAGTGTTTCATTTGTTTATCAGAATTTCTAACCGTTGGTAACAGCCGGGTTTCTGAAGAATAAATAAATCTCTTAGCGTTACAAACTGAATTTGATATTTTACTAGTTGCGTACTTAATTAATTTCTAATTAAATATATGAAATTTATTTACAGTAAAATATGCCCGTGATAAACCACGTTGCATAAGAAAATTAATGGAAGAAAATATATTTTCTTACATGTCAGTGTGTCGTATATGATTACATTTTAATAGTCACATATCAAAATGTAGTCATGTATATTTCGTAATGTTGTTAAATAAATATTTCATTTAATTTTATGTATTCCTTCTTTTATAAAAATGAGACGTAAATGCATTTTTCCCATGTCAGATGTTTTTAGCCTGTCGTGGTGGCGAGTAGAACATTTGGAGTGTCTGCAGTATCGTAACGTTGTAAAAGCCACGCAAGTCGATGCCTCGTTATCATAAGTAATGACTGAATACGCGTGTCCTTTTCGTACGAATAACATAAAATTAACAGAAAATATGTACACTACAAGTTACTCAAGAGGAAATTCTTGCATTAAATAAAATTTTGAAAATTCCACAACGGCTAACATTAATCGACATCACCGTCAGATATTCATCTTCTGAATCAAGTACCTCGGCGTGAACCAGTATTTAAATTCAGTAAATTATATTTACTGTGATTGAATATTGATTAATATTTGTACTTAAAATTATTCATTGTCGGAAATTTTCCATCGTCTGTTCTTTAAAATCACGACGTTTTGGAGGCTGGTTCTGTCTCCGTCTTCAGGTGAGAAGTACGTACCTAAGTGTAAACTACCATCGTCAAAACCCTTTAGAATTAAATTAATATTTGTGGTGAGGATGGGTGGCTTGAAAAAAATGTGTAAATTCGTGTCATTGGGATTTAAGTTTACTCGGCGCCACAATAAGTTGTTCGTTCCCAAAAGAGCTTTGCATTTGTTTCGTCCTTTCCATTAACCATCCACGACTTGTGATATTATGTTACGAAGTCTGTGACTTGATTTTCGTGTCGCCTAGTATTGTTGGGTATGAAGAATGAATGAGGTTATGGATGGGACACAAGAAATACATATGGAAATATTGAGCGTTATCTTCCTGGGAAATGGCCACTTGGAATACGAAGAAAGACGGGGAAGATAGCAATAAGATAGATTTTATTAAAGTAGGATTTGAGTACGTGAGGTGGATGGCACTACCTCGGGATTTTATCTAACTGTTCTGTTACCACAGTTTTTGTTAGTTAAATAGTTCCGTGATATTCCAACTGCTATCTTTAAGATTGGATTTAGAATGTAAAAATAATGTACTGATAGAAAATGTCGCTTGAAATTCAGGGATTTCTGTTGTACGCTAGATATACGTCAGACAGATATGTAATATCCAGTGAATGTTCCATGTCTGTGTCTGTAGATTAGTGAATTGTGACCCTTGGACAATAGATTCAAACTTGCTTGACATGTTATTCAAGCAAGAATGGAGTCCAGGAATTTGTTATTGAGTTTGTCATTTATTATCATTAGACGTACTGACTGGTGAGCGAGGTAGTTAACCTTGATACATTTCTGTGCCACATGTTCACAGATAAGGTTTGTTTTCCAGGGGAGAGAGTGAGGGCAGATAATCGATTAAGTATGAGAACAAGGTTCAGCTGAATTTTGTGAAAATACTTTTCTGATAACAGGACTGGCAAAGTGCACAACGAACACAAACTAACTAACCAGTTAACTAATCTACTATAAATCTGTCGCAAAGTTTCCATTGCTTGCATTGGTAGGGCCTACATAGCGATTATTATTTGTAGAGGACCGTTTCATCTGCTAAAGTTATACGTCTGTGACTTTATCTTCGTCTTTAAGAGTTTATTTCTCATTATACTTTATAGTTTTATGTGTGTTATTTTTATTTTTGTACAAGCGTCAGAGATTTGAGTTAATTTGAATTTTGGAATTCTAAGCCTTTAACTTTGACCCACGAAGTCACATCCGGTTGAGATTCCTAAAAAGATGGTGACCCCAGTTTATGAGCAATTTGCTCTGTGACATTGACAGAAAATGCCGAAAGTGAATTGTATTCGCATTTGGTTACGCCTTACAAACACCAAACGAAATCAGCCTGTAGATGTTACAAACCGGGTTAATATTTCTATTTCTGGACAGGTAGAAACTGTTTACTGCCTAGGTGTGCTGAACCCATGGATGACAGGAAGGTGAAATAACGTACAGCCGAACTGACTTTAGACGTAAGTAAATATAGAGAGATTCAAAAGTCACGTTATGTTTATAGAGAGATATCTTAACATTATTTATGATCAGAGTAATTTATTTCAAGTGAGCTCACGTAAGTCTGCACAATTAGTTTGTGGTTAAGGTTTCTGTTTAATTTTCTTCGCCTGTTTTCATTTTTTAAATGATTACACCAAGAATGTAGCCCTTGTCATAATTGCTTATTTGTAATTAAGTAACATATTTTTATAACATCCATCTATACAGTGTGTTGAACAATTCCAGATATTATCACGAGTTTAGCAAGTTGTTATTTGTTCGTGGTTTAATGCGCTGTTAGTAGCTCAGAATATTTACCGTCAGACGATGAAATGATAAAGCAGTGATTCTATTTTTTTTTTTCGAATCGCATTTCTATTCGTAAATCTACACGCCTCGTGTCTCCCGAATGTCTGCAAGGCCTACGATCGAAAGGGATTTTGTTACAAAATTACCAATAATTAATATGAATATTTGGTTCAAAATACTACGTTCCCCCGGACTCTTCCCGTCCATCATGCCACAGAAAATATAACCAAAAAGGCAGGGATTCAAACCGGGGACCTTCGAACACGAAGCAGGCACTGTGACCCCACACAGCAATGTTCGGTTCCAACAGCTTTCTCTGCCGGCTAATGTAATCGTATTCGAGAGGTCCCGGGATCAAATCTCGGCTCGGAGACTGTTTATACTGACTTTCGTAGTTTTCATCAGTTGCCTTAAATTAGGCCACGACTGCTTCCTTCCACATCTTTTCCAATTCATTAATCATGCTGTCATTCGTGCTACTGACAGTGTCGTCAGATGTGTTCAAAGTGCAACTGAGGTTTGGACTATGAACTGTGTGCAAAGAAAGTCATGATTACACTGCAAATTTTCAATGTAAATTTAAGATCCTTTAATGTACTGCAACCAGACGTAGTATGGTGCAATGTTATTAGAATTCAATGTGTCTCTGTAGCAGACGTGTGATATTGAATTCTAATAATTCTGCCTTATTGTATTTCTGGTTTCATTAAAGAAAAGGATCTTCATTTTACTTTGTAACATTATAAAATTATGACCAACTTCCTACCCAATTCCTTGTCCCATACTTCAGGTGTACTTTGAACACATGAATAACAAACACGTGAAGGCTCGCTCGCCAGACCTCTCAAGAGGCTATGCGACGTAGCTAGTTACCACTTCCGGTTAACTACAGGGGGGGGGGGCTGTCCAATGCAGTTATGCAACCATAAAGTACATATTATGCTTACTACTTAAGTCTAATAACGCTTTGTCAAGTACAGAGGTTCTAATAAGGTTGTTCTAGAAATACTTTGATTTCGTTTGTATTTATTACGAAACAATATTTGGCCAAAATACTGAGACATATTTGATGTCTTAAGTAGTTCTCAGGGAATAATATTTTTCAAGCAGGAACACTGATTGCAAGGGAGAGAATATCCAGGAATAATTAATATGTTCAAAGCTTTGGATGTTTTAATTAAAGTTCTTTTCTGTATTTGTTTACCATCAAAGACGATGGAAAGTTTAAAATGGGGGAGGAAGAGAATATGGACGGAGTTTATTTATATATTTATAACTTTCGATTCAATTATGTTGTGTGAAGCAGTTAGTTTACAACTATCGCTTGTGGTAATCAATGTGGAAAAATAAAACCAGAGAAATTAAGAATAAGAATGCAGTTTTTCTATATCCTAGTTCTGTTTACAAACAGAATGCAAATCACAAGGCAGGCGTTTCTGGGTTAGGCAATTCTAATTTTAATTATGCGTTGGTTATCTTTGTTTTAAAAATATAACTTTGGACACACTGAACGTTGCCTCTGAATTGTTTACATGGTTATGATATCGGCTGCTTTCTTTTTGTGGTTTTTCTAAGACTCTCCAGTAAAATGGCGGCATAGTAAATTCATTAGGCAAAACGACTTCCATATCCTTTTAAATTCAATGTTAATTAATTGTCGGTTTGAATTTAGTATTTGTTTAAAAAAAATTGGATTTAGAATGTTTGGCCACCCCTGAAAATTTACAAACATTTCCTCAATTGCTATCAGTGTGAGGTATGACGTTGCGTGGTCTGATTGGGTGCTAGTTCAGTCAGTGCGAGTTTCCAACTCCAAGTAGGAACGAAAGTAAAGGCGGAACTATATAGGCAGTGTAGTCTGGCTGCAGCAGTTGAAGTAGTAGTGTGCTGGTGTTGTGTACCTTTACAAATTCTCTAGTACGTAATATTTGTAGGTAAGACCTTCAAGATTAAAAATACTAGAAATCTGATAAGTGTGTCTGTTAGTTATGTTTGTCCTTTCAACACTTTACACTCGTCAGGAAAAGTTAAAGTTTTAAATATTCTGGTGCCCACTTACTGTATTTAATTAAGAGTCAATATAATTATTTTCTATTTATTATAATTGAGAGTGAATGTCGCATTTAAAGTTGTGTTTTGTAAATGTACAGGAAAATGGCGGAACCTCATACAACAGCCGTGCCGCGTTTGGAATGTGTGGACAAAGTGTGTAATATTCCTGTGGTTGAGATGGCATATAACCAGACCGCAGACTTGTACAAGAAAGTGAAGGAAGCCAATGGAGTACTCACGTGGACGCTGTCGGCAGCAGAAGCAACTATTTTGAAGGCTGCAGAACACGTTGCTCCTGTTGCTAGGAAATTAGAACGCCCCATTCATGCAGTAGACCAAACCTTGTGCAAAGCCATTGAAATTGTTGAAGAAAAATTTCCACTTGTGAAGGAGCCTCCATCAAATGTAAGTTTATTACAATAAACATTACAGTTCAGCGTTTTTGCGGATATGCTTAAGTCAAATGGAACAAGTTGTAAAAGTGTACGTGAATTGCCCCGATGGAATTATTTAATAATAATGAAGCATTTATTTTTAATGCCATTTTAAAAGTTGTTCCTCTTCCAAACTAATTATAACGGGCTATAATTTTATTCCCCTGAAACATTGGTAACCATCTAAAGCATCTTGTAGTGGTTATCAACCCTACCAAAGATTGAGGCAAGGTTTTCCTCCAAAGCATTTGTAGCCTGAGCAACAGATCAGTGTCAGTCTGTTCTAAAGGGCTGTGTTGATGGTGTATTGCAGTGTGGATTACCGAGTAGTTTGGGAGCCATGATTGAAGGGGTACAAAGGAGAACTGAAATCTATCCGTAAATAAACTAAAAACATACAAATTTAGTAATTCTACATAGGACGGCAGAATATGCTTGCACCTGGGCGTCTGCTGACGTGCGTGAAACTATACTCCGCTTTTCCATTCATCTTAATGGTGTGACGCATGTGGCTGAAAAAAACTGTAGATGATGATTTAATTGTTTTTGATGCATTTTTAATTGTGTGGGCCACCAGGAGTTGTGAATTTTTACCAGAACGTATATTTTTTTTGTTTAGGTACGTTCCACTGCCATGTTCTTTGTTCAAGAAATTTTTTCCCCAATGGAAAGATTTACTGCCATGAAGGATTATGGAACGAGGAAAGCACACTCGTTTTCAGAAATGAGTGTGACAAAGGCGAACGAAATGTTGGCTACTCGTTATGGCGCAATAGCACTGAGTGGGTTTGAGACGACCGCTGCACTTGCAGAAAAGTATCTGGACTACTACTTCCCTGCTACAGAACAGGAGTTGCAAGAAGAAAATGGTAATTATATATACCATATGAATTATGTAGTGTATGTGGCCTGAACAAATTTCTGAGCCAAATATTTTGAGAAATGGAAATAACATTTATGTAAATTTATTGCCTATATGATGGAATCAGAACTACGTGAGATGAATTTGAAAAATGTTAATATCCAAGAATATTATGCAGAACATTTTATGCGACATGGCAACTTCGCAACCTCAGGATTTGTACAGGCCTGTTTGTCACGATATTCGTAAGCATGAAGCAACTTTTCGTCCCGCCATTTTAGTGTAAATCCAACATTTACATGGTTGTATGTAAATTATCCGTTTATCCGTAAAAGGGAAATGGTCTTGACAGTAATAATCCAACTCGGTGGCCCTGACGAAGCTGATAGTATACTCAGTAAAGAAAGTTCCTGCCTTTAATGTGATCTGAAGGTTCATTACCGTGTTCACAAAATCCTGCTACCACTCCCTATCCTATGCCAGGTGAATCCATTACATGCCCTTCAACTCCCTTTTCCTAAGATCAATTTTGGAAACCTCCCATCTGCACCAAGATCTTGTGGTTTCCCTTGATAATTTCCAAAAAAAAAAATTTTTTTTGTTTGCTTTTTCTGTCTACCCATGCATGCTACGTTTTCTGTCCATCTCGTCCTTGAATCGTTTATCTTAATAATATTTTGTGAATAATACAAATTATGGAGCTCTAAGTTCTGTAGTTTTCCAACCCTTCTGCCATTTCAGCCCTTTTGGGTTCAAATATTCTCTAAGCACCCTCAAACACCAACAGCCTTTGTTCTTCCTTAAGGCGAGAGACCGTGTCTGAAGGTGTTTGTTTATGAAATCGAAGAGACTCCATAATTAGCTGAAATTTTTAACTTGCAACATTGTCGGCAATTTCTGGTTGGTCTGCAGTTGAGGCACAAAAATGTAATTGACTCGGTTAGTAAGAAATTTAATATTCAGCCGCTAAAAGAAAACAGAAAAGTGTAAAAAGTTACTATTCGTAAAGTAGTAATTTCTAAGGCTGTGGTGAAATATGACACTAGCGAGTGATAGAGCTATCTATATAAGGCGCTGATCCTCGGGTGGGAATTGGGTGACTTAATGGGGTAATCTGGCACTGAGGAAAATGGTATCTCACCTTGCCATGGATTGAATTTTCAGAACCACCTGCAGCTGAAGGTGATGATGATGATGATGATGATGATGATGATAAGGTTATGAATACATTTCATACGATGGGGCGGCTGTCTAACAAGTTTGCTCGCAGAGTGTACAACATCCTCTCATCCCACGTTAAGCAACTTGATTATGATGAAATGCAACAGTACATTAAGTCTGTGTCTACCATCATGCATCTTACAAATTATCTGCAAAGTCTAAATGAACATCTCAGGGCTGTGACCTCCAGCAATAAAACCGAAAGTGCTGAAGGATCGAGCGGTAGCGCGCAGAAAACTGAAGAAAAGAAATCGACTATCGCATGATGTATGGCTTAATTACCCGAATGTTTCATTTTGTATGAAGTTTTATAATGTTATATTTGTTCTAAATTTAATACACGGGTTTCAAATGTGCATGTATATTATTTATTTGAAGTAAAATGTGTACAAAAAATATGTGATGTAGTTGTTTCTATCAATTGTCTGCACACATGAAGTAAGTTTCTTGGCCGTAAAGATTGTTCAGGATAGTTATTATCATTTGTGACAACTATTTATGAAATACTTTTAAACAATTTAGAGTACGTTTACATAAAATCACAAATGTGGGAACTTTTGATAAACATTTACTGTTGAATTTAGATATGCATATGAGATTTAAGATGGGCTTCCAAATAAAGCTGTACCACAAAGTGCAGGGTCTAGAATGCTTAATATCTTATCTTTCCATAGTTCCGTGACTTCCATAACACTCCCAGTCTTTCTTTTAAATTGCTTGGTGATGTCAACGCGCCAGCAATCTCTCCTCGGTGTCAGGGGCCGACTATACTCGCAACGTCATGTTATATACTGCAGGATGACTACTTTTAGCATACGTTCAATTTGTTACCTATAGAGAAGTTTTTAAAATGTTTTATGGCCCTTTATATAATTGGAAGTGGGACTGTGCGACCAATGCTGGGTCCAATGTGCACAAATATTTAAGGTACGACTCTTATGGCTAAAAGGAATGAGAATTCTTGGTGACAGTTTATAAATGCCCAGAATGGTTAACAGGGATGCAAACTAAATCTGAGCTTGGGCTGTCTTGTCTCTTAACGGAAGGGAAGATTGCATATATATATATATATATAGTGTTTTTTGAACACTTTTTTTCCCTTTGCCTGCACTACTGCAGTCTTCATGTAAAAATTTTGCATTTAATATAAAAGGGAGGATTGAGTTATTTTTGTGCTGTCACTTGTCTTACCTTCCCCTCCCACCCACGTCTGTATTTGTAATGGTTGTCTAAGCTTGGAGACGTTTTGCATCCACTGTACTTTGTACTTCCATCTGATGAATTTGTCATGTTTTGAAATGCACTTGTACAGTTGGTATACAATGTTAATTTCATACATGTTGTCAGTACCAATATTACTAAATGGCAAAGTACATACAGATGGATTTTGATGAGTCTAGTACAGGATTTGGGTGGTTACCGGCTATGACGCCAGACCGTTAAATCAAGCCCAGACCATTTTAATGTGCAGCGGCCAGATAGGGGACTTGATCTTTTGTCACTAATAGCTAGCAAGGGGCCTTGAATTTGTATGTTAAATTGCCAGATAGGGTCTCAAATCTTGTCCATTATAATGGCTAGACAGTGGCTTCAAATTATAATTGCTAGTCGCTGGTCTCGATGCTAGATAGTTATAATAGCTAAATAATGGTCTTGATCCTAGACAATTTTAATGGCTAATTAGGACCTGGATTTTTCACCATTGTAATGGATAGATGGGGGCCCTCAATCCTAGTCCAATATAATGGCTGGCTACCTTTATACTGGACAGTTCAGGTCCTCAATCATAAAACAGTATATTGGCCAGATGTGGCCATCTATTCCAGATCATTACAGTCAATAGATAGGGACCCTGATCCCACACTACTCTAACACATAGAGGCCTCAACCTTTATCCATTATAATGGTCTGGGGGTCCTAGAACTCAATTAATGGATTGATAGGAGCTTTATACACCATTATAACTGTCTGATAGACTAATACAGTGGGCATTCAGGGGCCTTGATCCTAGACCATTTTAATGCATGCAAATGGGCCTCAAACACATGTTACTGTAAAGGTCAATTAGAGGTCTTGTCAGCTTACCTTTGTAATGCCCAGATAATGGCTAGATAGGAGCTCTCTTCTTAAACCATTATAAAGGCTACAAAGTGGCTTCCATCATAGACCATCACAGTGGGTAGATTAGGGTCTCTGTCAGACAACTAAAAGGCCGTTGTAACCGTTCCCCTTTTACCTTTAAATATTTTTTTTTTTGTTATTTGGTTGGGCGCCAGTGGACCTCTTGTCCACGACGGATGGTTGTCCAGGGTAGCTCCAGCCAGCAGAACACGCTGTCTGTACACTCAGGTTAGTGTAACGGCCGGACTAACAATGACACAGCGGACGCTTGATTGATGTCACAATTGTATGTAAAAGGGTCCAGTTTATTGACGTAACATGAATTTACAACAGTCACACATATTTATTCCTTTTAATAATAACTAAATTTCCTTTCTTTACTTTTCTGGTGCATACGGCTTGTTCTAAATTCTGTGGTGGTATAATTTAGTAAAATTTCCAATATCAAAACCAAATTGTGGCGGAGCAGTTGCCACCGATTTCCTTGGTGAGAACGAGTGCCTCTTGAAGTCGGCCCACACCAAAAACCCCCGGCTCCCAAAAACCCCGGGTACCCGCGGCACCTCGTTGTTAAGCCAAAAGGTTTACACAAAGAGACTTTCGTAGCTTAAACCGTAATACACCCAAACAAGTGAACAAAAGAGACCTTCATAAAACAGTTTCACAAAATACAGTTTGGTTGGACCGAAGGGTCGGTCGACTACACCGTAGAGCAGTCTCCATCGGAAGTGCATATACCAGAGCTTTGTTCTTTGTCCATTGCAATGGTGAATTACAAACCATGGTGCCAGACAACTACATTGCCAGATAGGGTCTTGATCAAAGAGGTTTACAGTGCCTAATTCTGAGCCTCCATTCAAGACCATTGTATTGGCTACATAGGTCTCTTCGTAGACCATTATAATGGCTAGACAGTAGGCCCAGTCACAGGCTATTATAATGGGTAGATAGGCTCCTACTGATCAAGTCAAGGAGGAGGAGATGGGTAGGGCATGTAGCCTGCATGGGATAGAGGAGGAATGCATAAATGTTTTTGGTAGGCAAGCCAGAAGGGAAGAGCCCTATAGATAGACATAGATGGGAGGATTATATTGAAATGGATGTTGAAAAAATAGGGTAGGCTAGTATGGACTCAGTCATCTGGCTCGGGATAGGGACCAGTGGCGGGCAGGTGTGAATAAGGAAATAAACTTTCAGATTCCATCAAATGTTGGGAATAACAACTAGACTTCATGGAGCATGTAAGAAAGATAAGGTCATGCTCTAGACTAATGGCCATTCAATGGCCTCGATCATGGAAAAATGTAATAATACATAGCCTGGATCGCAGGCAGTTGTAAAGGCCAATAACAGCCCATGATGGCTAACATTTATAGTGCCTAGATAACGCCTTATTCCTAGACTGTTGCAACAGTTATACATGGACATCCATCCAAATACACTTGGATGAAATGTAAAGTCTTTGGTCCAAGACACTATGAACAAAAGGAGATTTAGGAGCTTAGATCGGACACAGTCATAATGGCAATATAGCGGCGTGAATCCTACACCATTATAACCGCAATACAGCAGCGTCCACCACCATGTCTCTACAGCCACCATCACGTGTCTACGACCACGCCTTCACCAACACCACAACGTTACCAGTCTCCACAACCTCGCCTTTACTACCACTTCTCTACTACCACCCTCCATAAACACCATGTCTCAACCACATTCACATCTCCGACAAAACGCCCCAACCTCCAAAAGAACCACAACTCCACAAACTGCCCAACACTACCACCAGGTATTCACCACCACCATTATGTCTTCACTCCCAACCGTCCACTACTACCACCACGGCTCTACCATCACCACAAACACAACGCCACCACGCCTCTACCACCACCGTCACCACCACCACCTCACCTCCACACCACGGTCCCCAATACCACGTAATCATCACCACCACATCGCATCCACCATGTCTCTACCACTACGCTCCCAACCACCACAACTACGTCTCTAACAACGCACCTCCACGTCACCACAACCACCACCAACACGCCTAATTTACCATCATCAGGTCCCCAACACCACTATCACCAAGTCTCCACCAGCACCACAACGACGACGATTCCAACACCACCAACCGTCCACCACTACCACCCCAGTTCAAACACCACCATGCCTGCACCACCACCAGAAACAGCACCACGTCTCTACCACAACCTCGTATCTTCCACCATGCCTTCACCAACACCTCGCATCCACCACCACCACGTCTCAACCACATCACTACAACCATCGCCTTCGCCACCACCACCACATCCACAAGCACGCATCTACCACCACGTCTTCACCACAGCATCACCACGCCACCATCACCCCAACCTCCACCATCACGCCTCTACCACATCACCTCCACTCCTGCATTATCATCGCCACCTACACTACGTCTGCATCAACACCACCACAACCAATACTCCACGTCCAAGTTTCCACTAGCACAAGCACGTCATCACCAGCAGCTCCACTTTTGCACCATTATGCATGCACCATCACTACCACTGCCACCAGGTCTTCATCACCACATCGACCACCACGTCACCAGTACCACGACGTATCCAATACCATATCCACCACCGCGTCTCTACCACTACGCCTCTACCGCCACAACGACGACTCCACGCCCACGCCTCCACAACCGCGTCACCACAACCACCACCAACAGGCTTTCTTCATCACCACAACCTCGTCTCCACGAACACAACTACCGCCACCACGTCCCCACCAGCACCAAAACCACCACAGCCACCACTACCCTACCACCATCTTTCCCACCAGGTCTCTACCACCACCGTCAGTACGCCTCCACTATCACCACGTATACAATACAACACCTCAACCACTAGAACCTCCACTATGCCTCCACCACCACCTCCACACTTCTACGAACACTACATCGCAACCACCAGCACCACTCCTACTTCACGAGCACTACCACCACCACGTCTCCACCACAACCAAGCCTCCACTGCCAATGTCACCACGTTTGAACTCAACCACCACCACCACGCCTCCAAAGCCTCCACCACCAATTCTCTACAACCACAACCTAACCCACACTACCACCATTTCTAAACCATCACCACGTCTCCAAAAAATCACCAGCACTAATACTTCCACGTCTCCATAACCAAGCCTTTACCACCGTAAACACCACTGCGTCTCAACCTAAACCACGTTTCGACCACTCCAAAGCTATCACCACCACATCCGCCACTACGCCTCTACCACCAACACGGCCATTTCCACGTCTCAACCACCACTGCCTCCCCCGACACCACAACCGCCCTAAGCACGCCTCCACCTCCAGCAAATCTCCATCACCATGACTTCACAACCACCAGAACCCTCACGTCTCCACCCCCACAAAAACCTCCACGTCTCTACACCACGTAACTTCCACCATGCCTCCACCACCACAACGTCTTCACAACTACCGCCTTCCCCGAGCAAGTCTCTGCCGGTGCGAGTGTATAGTGGAACGACTTTCAGAATTGGAAAATTTTCAAAATTTTTGAGATTTTTCAAAAATTTTAAAAAGCTCGTAAATGTCATAAAAACGAAAAAAAACTAAGTTTTTGAAAAAAAATTAAGTTGAAATTTTTCAAAATCTCTTAGTTTTGTGCTTTTTTTGGGCAATTTCCAGCACTTTTACTTTTCGGAAATTTTACAAAATTGGAATTTTTTAAAAAATTATCCTCACCCTGTCTCTGCCCGAACCCGTCTCGGCCGGACACTGTCTCTGGCGAACCAGCTCTCTGGGGGACCCGGTCTCTGACGGAACTGGTCTCTGGCGAATACGGTCTCTAACGAACGCGGCCTTTACCAGACCGTGTCTCTTCTCGACCTCGACTATGTCGTACTCTGTCACTAACGGATGCGTTCTCTGCCGCAATCTCTCTCTACACGATCTGGTCCATGACGGGCCAATGCTGCAAAGTAGGGTTTATACAAAAACTGACTTTTG